TAAATCATGAACAAAATTTTTAAAACCACAGAATGGGAGAACATGTTCACCAATACATCTGTTAAGGGGCTAATATCCAAAATTCATAAAGAACAAAATTCAACACCAAAGAAACAGCCCAATTAAAAAATGGGCAAAGGACCTGAACTGACATTTCTTCAAAGAGGACATACAGATGGCCAATACACGTATGAAAAGATGCTCAACATCACTAATCATCAGAGAAATGTAAATTAAAACTACAATGAGATACCACCACACACCTGTCAGAATGGCTGTCATCAATAAGTCAACAAACAAATGCTGGTAAGGATGTGGAGAAAGGGGAACTCATTTGCGCTGATGGTGGGAATGCAGACTGGTGCAGCCACTGTGGAAAACAGTATGGAGGTACCTCAAAAAATAAAAAATGGATCTGCCTTTTGACCCAGTGATCCCAATTACAGGAATATATCTGAAGCAACCCCAAACACTAATTTGAAAGAACATAGCACCCCTATGTTCACTGCAGTGTCCATCAGATGAGTGGGTAAAAGAGATATGAGACATTCACATAATGGAATACTACTTGGCCATAAAAAAAAAGAAGAAAATATTACCCTTTGCGACAGTGTGGATGGACCCAGAGAACATTATGCTACGTGAAATAAGCCAGTCAGAGAAAGATAAACACCATAGGATTTCACTTATATAGGGAATCTAATGAACAAACTGAACAAACATGGAAAATGAGGACAGATTCATAGGTGGAGAGCAGGATGACAGCTGTGGGTGGCGGGGAGAGTGAGGGGATGGAGGGATTGAGCAAAAAGGAAAGAGGACTCGTGGACATGGACAACAGTGCGGTGATTGCTGGGGGGAGAGAGGTATAAGGGGACTAAATGGTAATGGAAAAGACATAAATAAGACTGAAGTTCCTAAAAAAGCAAAAACAGAATCCATAAAAAAGAAATGAAATGGCAAACTTTTCTAAAGGTATTTTTTCAACTTAGTTATCAAAGTCGAAGCACAGAAATCACCAAGTATATGGCCTGTCTGAAACCTTTAACACCAAGGTAGCAACCAATACTAATTATTTTCACATTCTACAATTTATATTACCTATTTTTCCTAAAACATTTATGCAACGATTTTCAAAAATAATTTCCCAAAATAGATTCACTACATATTATTGATGATTATTAATTATTTAAAATATTTTACACCTTGAGAGGTATATGCATATTTCCTGTCTGAATGGTCCTCAGTCTGCATTTTAGCCCTTTTTTTTTTTAAAGCATTTCTTAATTAGACCTTAAGGGGCTGCATTAACCATATACCTAATAAAAACATTTCACTTTGGTTTCTTTTCTGTTTATTCATGAAACGCAATAGCAGCTATGTAAACTAACAGCTGTAATTAGTAGGGTTAGACAGTGCTAGAGAGCAGGGGACACGCAGGATCAGGAAAGGCTTCCCAACAGTGCTTCACTGAAGCTGGGTCTTAAGTGTTTGCCATGTTCAGTAGGTCAGGGAAGCACAATACAGGCATCAAGATGGTCCCAGTGATTCTCATTTCTCGCTACTCAAATCCTTGTGGAGTCCCCTCCCTACAACACAGAATTTGATGAAAATGATGTAACTTTTGACGCTAAGTCTTAGAAGACACCAAGGCTCTGTATCATTTTCTCTTGATCACTCACTCTGGCAGAAGCTGGCTGTCGTGTGAAGACACTCAAGTAGCTCTACAGAGAGGTCTACACAGAGAGAAACTTCATTTTCCTGCCAACCATAACAGTAATTTGCCAGGTATGTTGGTAAACCACCCTGAGGGTGAATTCTCCAGCCTCAGAAAAGCCTTCAGATGATGGCAGTCCAAGCCAACAACTTGACTGCAACTTCAGAAGACTCTGCGCCAGAGCAAACCAGCTAAGCCGCTCCCAGATCCCTGACCCACAGAAATAAAGATAAACTGTCACTGCTGTTCCACTCTGTTCAGTTTGGGGAGTAATTTGTTGGAGAATAACATATTTAACTTTATGAATATGTAGAGCACAAGACACATAAGAGGAAAACAGCATGTGCCAAAAAAAAGCACCGAGGGACAATACAGCCAAGCAAGCCTGGGTGCGGCGCTCAGGATGGTTAAAGCACAAAGAGGTGAGGCTAGCGGCTCCTGTTTGAGACCAGGTCAGAGACTCTTTCTTTCTTTCTTTTCCTTTTTTGCCTAAGTAAGGAATTTGGACTTTATCCTATGGCCAAGCAATAAGCAGGAAAATCGATGCACGATCTTTAGCAGAGAATTAACAACTAGATCCTAATTTGAAAAGAAATACTGAGTACAGTAGAGATTAAATGGTGGAGAGGAGGGCAATATGACTGGGAAGTTCTCTTGATAGGGAGATCAGTGAAAATATTCTTTTAACAATGCAAGAGGAAAAATGAATGGCAGTGAGGTAAAACTGCTCTTGGGCCCATTAGTACTCACAGCCAGAGTTCACAGACATCTGGGTTCCAAGTAGCTGACTCTTTTTAAGGTGTACGTGCAGAACGGATCCCCTCCCACAACCACCTGGACAGAGACCTTTCAAGATCATCCTCCCCATTAAGTCACTTCCTGTTCTGCTCAAAGACAGGCTTTAATTCCCATGTGGGGTGCTACAGATGCATATTGCCATAGCTAGTTTATGCTATTCCCTAACTACCAGAAGCTGTCAGGCCTTAACATTAGTTCTATCCTAAGAAGAATGAAGTAAATCTATCATAAAGCCAAAAGCAATTGCAGAATTTAAAATGGAGTCCAAATAACTAGCTAAATGCCACCACTCCCAACACCACTCCACATTCCATCCAGGGTAGGTCTTTCTTTGGAGCCCTGATTACCCTCATTTCTGCAGATCACCTTCCAGTAGGCCTTACAAAGATGAGAACTATCCACTGCCCCGCCAGGTTGCCTGGGGCTGCTGCTGACTCTCAATGATGCTGCCTTGAAGTCACCAAAAAGTCTCATTCTTAAGATTCTAGATTTTCCTCTTATCCAAATATATTTATTCTCAAACGAAATTAAGATTCTATCTAATACAATGATTTCAATTATATAATTTCAAATACAAGTAAAACCAAGCTATAAAACTAGATTAAGGATGCAGTCATCATTTTCGAAGAACAGAAAAATAATATCCATAAAAACCAGGATAGTGGTTATCTTGGGAAAGGAAAGGAAGTTTTTGACTGAGACAAAATGCATGAGATATGAAGGTTTCTGGGGGTTCTCCAATGATTTAGTGTTCAGTCTGGGTAGTTTTCGATACAGGTGTTGGCTTTAATGTTATTCATTAGACTGTACCTATACGTGTTTTATGTACTTTTCTCTAAGTTACATTTCTCAATAAAAATGTTTAAAAAAGGCAAGCCCCTTTGACCCACAAGAATGTTTAAAACAACAAATATGCAAATAACATGATAGGATAATTTAACTAGTAAATGCATATGTTAAAAAATGTTTCTGTCCCATCGGAATTTTTCTCCTGGTCAAAACAAGTATTACTTGCCTCCTAAATCATCACAAAGTTTATTAAACTATCACCATGCATTGCTGGTAAGCACAGTAAAAGTGGTTTTTATACTCTAATGTGACCGTCATTAAGCAACTGGGCCTTCTGATCCAGAAATTCTTTCAATCTCTTAAACTGAAGTATGAGAGTTATAAGCATAAAGATGTCACCTTCAAAGTTATAATAGCCAGAAGAAAATGGAACCAACATAAATAATAAATAACAAAACACTGTTTAAGAAAATTATGCAGATCTATTTGAAGAACTATAAGGTATCCTTTAAGTTTATCATATGATCACTATATATATTTTTTTAAATCTTTATTGGAAACATATACTAAACTATTTACATTTAAAATGAATATATAGGATTTCCTTCAAAATAATAGGTGATGGTATAAATGAAAAGCAGGTGAGGGGCCCTGGCAGGTATGGCTCAGTGGTTGGAGCCTTGTCCCTTAACTGAAAGGTTACAGGTTCAACCCCCAGTCAGGGCATGTACTCTCCCCGGCCCAGGCACATACAAGAGGCAACCAATTGATGCTCTCTCTTGCATCAATGTTTCTCTCTAAAAGTAATACAAAACTTTCATCAGGTGAGGATTTCAAAAAAAACACACAAAAACCTTATGGACCCTTGTCATAGAGAACATTTAAGGAAAAAAAAGGAAAAGCAGGTAGGGGTATAAATGAAAAAAGATTGGCCATTAGCTGTTAAGAGCTACAACTGAGAGATGAGTACAATGAGGGAAGGAACTCCCGTACTAATCTGGCATTCGGTAAATGTTTAAAATTCTTTAAAATAAAACATGTTTTGAATTATGGTGAAAAGATGATGAGTTGAAATTATGTATTTGTATCTTTTTATGATAATAAAAACATAAGAAGGGATAGAGGAAAGGAAAACAAATCAAAACCCTAATTTATGTTAAGAAGCCTTTGGTACTTTATTTCTAAACCTTCTGTTTTATTACTTCTTTAGTTTAAGAAGTTATATTCAAACTATGAATTGAGAAAATCTACTTAGCTATTTACTCTTTTGCACATAATTTAATCAGTCTCTAAATTACAATTAGCCAGAGACTTCTGAATCTATCATCTAAGACAGTTACAGTGAATTATTTTTCTTCAGATCCTTTACTAGCTTTTTAAGCTACAATTTTAAGTCAGTTCTATTTTGAAACCTAGTTTCCTTTTGCTGCATATTTATGTACTCATTGCAAAAACCATGATTTTGGTACTTAATATTTTAACTGAACAGAGTTCTTGTCTTTTCTTTCAGAGGCAGTTAAAAAGAATCAAATATAAACAGTTTATGTGTGACCACACTGGTTACTAATTAATGCCATAATACGAATTGTAGTTATCCAAACATTAAGTTATGCTGTAGTTATATTAAAGCCTGTGTATGTGTTTCTATTACCATAAAGCAAATCTAAATAGGAAATCAATTTGGAAATACACTTACCAGGATGATTGGAAATGGGAGGCTGGAATGCAAGTTCATTGTGAACTGGCCCTAAAGAAAAGACAATAAAAATCCCAATTTTATTTATTAAAAGTTCACCAATGCTAAATTTTTTAATGAACCTTACTCAAATGTAACTACCATACCGTAGGAGCTGTTTGGATCAAGCTTATGCAATGTTTAAGAACTTAAAAGCTTAGTTTAGATTATAATTATAATAAGCAAATACTCTTGAATTACCTTTGTAGATATTTAATAGCTAACATTTTAGCATGATATGCCAAGTGCCATTAAGCAATTTGTAATAGTTATACATGCAAAATTTAATGTAAATAAAATAAATTATTCACATAACATGTAATACAGTATAATTTATAATGTGATATACAATAATAATTCAAATCATTAGGTCCATTCTAAAATCAAGTGTTTATGGTTTATTAAATTAAGGATATTTCCATAATGGAACAACAGCTAACATAATTGAGAGATTATTATGTGTTAAGACACTATGCTAAACATCTCACATGAATTATTACATTTACTTCTTACAACATTGAGGTGGATACTATTATTACCCTTAAGGCTTAGAGAGATTAAATAACTTGCCAATGGTCACACAGCCAGTTAAGGGTTCAAATTCAGCACCCTTAACCACTTTGCTGGGCCAGGCAGACATTAAAAATTATATTCTCTTAAGACATGGAAAAATAGTAACACAACTGAAGGAAGAAAACAGGATTAACAATATATACAGTATGATCTCCTCCTCCTCTCAAATTTATATATACCCATTTCTATGACTGGAAGAAAAACATGCCAAAGTATTAGAAGTAGATCTCTCTGGGTTGTAGAATACTGGGTGATTTTTATCTTTTTATGTATACTTTTCTATATTTTCCAAGTTTCTTTGGTACTATTAAACTTATATTAGAGAAAAAAAGACTTACTATGTAGGAAAGATTTATACTCTTGATTTTACTATGCCAAATGAACAATGTTCCTATTGTGCCTGAAACTACAAGCTATGGTTAATCGGTAGGGTATCCCTCCCAATCAAGCCTGCACAGAGTAATGATGGATTCAACAGCTGAGTGCCTATGGTATGCTAAATAATACAGTGAGGGAAACCTTGAGGTCTTGATACTCAAAGGGTTTCCATCAACTTAGGGTGGATATAGATATACACATGAGATCTAAGAACATATACAAAGCAAACAAACAAATGAATGGAAATCAATGTGGTGTTAATGAAACATTAGCAAGAGAAAAGTAAATGTATTTAGTAAATATCACTTCTCTAAAACAAAAGTATGACAACACAATTATAAAAAATAAATAATACTGTTTATAAAAATAGTGAAAAAGTTACTCATTTAATAAAACTAAATTGTAAGATGAAAAGAAGATGTAAAAACATTTTTTTAATTAAAAAAAACAAACAAACCAAAGTCCTCAAAAGAAAAAGCCCTTACAACAAAAACAAGAGCTTACAGTAATGTCCGGGATGGGGCGGCATAGGCGGGTGGTGCTGAAGATGGCCGTTTTGGTGGTGAGGCAAATTAGGTGTGTATGGTGCGGTCCTACTTCCAGTCCAGGTGGTAGTGCTGTCTAAAAATTAAGGCCCACATGGATTAATTTGCTTTTATAAAGTCTGCCTATTTTTTTTCTCAACTAGTTAAAAGATTTTAAAAAGCATGTACATACTATGATGGTAAGTAGCTGGCTGCCCAGTAAATCCATTCTGCTGCTGTCCTGGCTGAGGCCCTGAAGCTATCTGCAACAATCCTTCACTATGGCTGCCTGCCAGGATACTGGCAGGCTGACCTAGAGGAACAAGAAGACATTAATATGGTACATTTATAGATGCAATCCTATGGTTTTAAATAGTAAATGAAGGACTAAGTTATATCTGATTGTCACTATAAAAATGGGCAAAAAGTGGAACTCATTCATGGCCTATCAAATAAAAAATCCTCAAGTCCACTATAAAGGCAAACCTTACCTTGGAGAAGTTCAAAACTATTCTATCTTAAGTAATGTCTAGCTAATTTTAGTGGCCTATTTCTTCACAATATTCTTCAAATGCCAGCAAAATCCCTATCATAATAACTTCTTCAGAAGCACATCAGCTCACCCCAGGCCACTCCATCTAGCTCTGGGCCTTTCTGATTAGGACTCCAGAAGTCCAGGTGTAAGAAAATGGTGAAAACTGGAAAGTTCATTATCATGAGCTCTAATAACTGGTAATAACAGAATGCTAGGGTTTGATAAAAGAAAAGAAAAGCAGGCAAATATTTTAAGTGGAATGTGATGGGTAAGGTGAGTAAATTAAAAAAAAAAAATTCAAGGTCTGCTTTCCAATCATATAGCATTTCCTAGCAAAAACAAACCAACAAACCACTATCAAACTATCAGTCTACTGTCAAATTTTTTTCATGTACTTTTACAAATCAAGAATCTTACCAAGAAGTGATTCCTGGATTTACAGGAAATTAGTTGCCCTCTCTATATGTAATATAGAGATTAAGCTTCCTCTAGCCTCTGTTCAATTCAAAACCATTCTATGATATTGCTTATTGGCCTACACTTTTAAGGCCTCTCTCTCTCTCTCTCTTTTTTTTTTGTGAAGAAAAACTTGATGTTTTCAAGTATGCATTAAGTCAATTGTTTATCTCATTTGGAAAGCACTAACATTTCATAATTGTTGTTTGTCACCAGCATCACCTCGATTTTTTCTCATCTAAACGAGAGTACAATCAGAGAGATGGGAGTAAATAACCACTGCTCAAAGTATCAAGGAAAAGGAACATTTTCCTCTTTTCTACAAATCACATTTCCCTGAGGCTAAAAACTATAGAGAATATTTTGCTCTGGCTGGTGTGGCTCAGTGGATTGAGTGCCAGCCTGCAAATCAAAAGGTTGCTGGTTCAATTCCCAGTCAGGGCACTTGCCTGGGTTACAGGCCAGGTCCCCAGTTGGGGACGTACAAAAGGCAACCACACATTGATGTTTCTTTCTCTTTCTCCTTCTTTTCCCCTCTCTTTAAAAATAAATAAATAAAATATTTTAAAAAATAAACTATAGAGAATACTTAAATACTCCCCAAATTATTTATTTTTAAAGACAATGTTTTTAGTGATCTCCTTTCCTACTCATCCCCCTCCCAATTTTTGCAAGATATCTTATGACTAAATTTATAGATGTTTAGAAAGAAACTGAAGACACACAGGTGCCCACTGAATACAGACTGTAACGTAGCCAATTGCAGTTACCTGTATCGAATATTTCCATTACCCAATTCCAAGTATGTAAAATGAAATTAAACCATATAATTAAATCAGCTCATGTAAATAGTCTTCCAATTCCTCTGTTTTAATCCAATTTTCTTTTAATTCTATCAATACACTTTTTGTGATGTAATACAAAAAAAATTGCAACAAATTCTAAAACCTAAAGTAATTATTACTCAACTGTGAAAATATGTCCAAAAGATATCAAGACAAAAGTATCTGCATTTCATTCATATTACTTTTTCTAGTCTTCATAGGACTCAGCCCCAGGGAACAGTACAGTTAAACTGAAGTCAATTTTGCAGACATCAACAAAGGCATGCAAATTCAAACTCAAGACAATAAAAACAGAGGTTGGGTGACTGCGCTCTAGCACTAATAATCTATGCTGTAAAGTCTCCATCATTACCCACTCTCCTTGTCAATGATATTATCCAAACTGGTAAATAAAGAATAGGCAGATAACAGAAGCACCACATGGTTAAGGGTCCAGGTTCTAAAATATGTGCTTAACCGGTATGACCCTCTTACAGTATGTGAGACTGTTCTCCCATATTTTCACACAGACTGTATGAGTCTATTTGATGAGACTGTCATCTCATGTAGCAAATTCAAAAGATAATAGTTTCGAAGAGGTGAAATGAATTAAAGACGGGGAAAGTTGGCATGCTTCACTGAAAAACTCAATTATATAAATCAGTCCTCCATTTACTCCAAAGATCAAATTTCTATACTGAATCTGATCTGATATTAAAGTAAACAGAATAATGTTCCCTTTGTTAGCAGCCAACAAAGTATCAATCCAGATCTATCAACATCTAGTGCTGATGTGAGCTTAGATACAATCTCCTTAGCAACCAGGTACAAATAACACCATACACATGCCAAGACCCTGCTCTGTGATTAATTTAAAAGAGCTACTCCAAGCAGCAAATTGTCCAACCTCTGGTGACTGTGAAAATAAAAGTACTAACAGAACCAAGTCATTAATACCTTGATCAGGCCCCAAGAAAAGCTGAACCTAATAGCCCTGTGGCAGGGAAAATGGCACCTACCTCTATTATGGGAGAAACCTTTTTGAAATTAGATAGACTTATTTGAAAAAAACTAAGAGTTAGATACACAGAATTAACTTTATTTTGAAGTTGACTAAATGCTTAATGTTTACCTTGAGGGATATTAAGTTATAAACAAGTTTGTCAAAATCCCCTTTTCTAAGTTTGCACAACGAGAGAATGAGATGACTATTATAAAGTAATATTCTGCCAGATAAATTTTAAAAAAAGATTAAAGAAAAGCTCACAATTCCATCAGCACAGATTTTTGTAAACATGTTGGTTTAAAACTACCTGTTAACTACTTAATTATTTCTCTAAAACGTATCTGAAAGCTCAAGAGGCTTCTCACTTCTGCATTAACAGTAGATAAAAGTACAAATTAGACCATTAATTTAAATCAATATTATAATCAAAGTCATAAGTTAAATTCCAAATGACTACACATCAACATAATAATGTTTAAGTAAACTACAAACCATTTTTTCCAGGACTAACCCAAAAACCTATTTAATACTTGTTTACCAATGAAAAATACCATAATACTTTTAATTTTTACTTACTAGGAGTTTTCCTCCAAGTGACTACACATAAATATTTAATGGTTAGGGAAATTCAACTTGCTGACTACATCTGATTCTACAACTCACTTGTGGAAGCCACAGGAATGTTGGGAAAGTTGGTGGTGCTGGTAGCGTTAGACTCAGATGGAGCTAACAGAGCTGGGGTGCTGTACGTCTCCGTCGATGCACGATTACTTGGTGGATGCTGAATGGTTTGAATAGAATGCCCTTCAGTGGATAACGATGGCTGTCCCTCAAAGTCATGAACATATTCATCCTTCACCAACATACTTGGTGGAGCTATACAGAAAATTAAACATATTTTAAAATCTTATAAGCTTCTATTCCCAGAAAAAAATCTTGTAAGCAATATAACACCTAAAAACTATAGTGTATATAACAGAAATTTTTTTCATAATAGTTTTAAAGCATACTACTTTATCAGGAAAAGCTATTCATTTACAGGTAGTGGCATCAGACATATTTTATCATCAATTTGAACAACTTATTGAAATTTGAAGCTAGACTATATTCCAACTTCCAGCAATGGTTTTGAAGAGGTATTCCTTAGTTTCTTGATTAACCTAGAAATAATAATTACCTTAAATATATAACATGAGGTAGACAAAAACCAAATGGCTGGGAAAAATACACATCCAGATGAGAAGACCAAACTGAGTCTGAGTACTTAGCTCTATCTTTTTGCTAATTTCACACACTGTATGTAGAAATATGGGTGGGATCTGATAACTGCCCAATTCCAAGATCTAGAATTAAGTAACACAGTCCTTGAAAGTGAAGTATAGTAAGTGTCCCTAAACGGTTAAGAACCAGACAGAAAAATCCTAAATGTTAGGTCAAACTGAAATTTCCTTTGGGAAAACCATCCCAAAAAATGATGTTTGATAAATATATGACATGAAAAAACTTAATAATGATCATCTTTCACCTATGTGGCTACACGTGAATAAGCAAAGCCAGATTGTAGCTGATATAACACCTTTCCCTGAACAAACCAGGGAACAGGGTTTGCTGGGACGAAAAAAGAAAACTGAAACCGTATTTATAATGTTAATTGCTCTCTACCCTGAATCTCCATACCTATTTGTTTTGGGCCTACTGTTTTGGGGTTTGCTTTTTATTTTTAGCAAAAAACCATCTTCTGCTTCTGAACTAACACTACCCCAGAATTTTACAATCTGTTGAACTCTAACACTACGTTCTTTTTTTAGAGCAGTTAATTAATAGTCCACAAAGATACTATCTTTTCCATTGAGAACCAGCATAGTGAGCTCCTTATGTATCCCTACGTCAATCTTTGAAAAAACCCTACATATAATACCAATTTTTTGAGTGGCTATTTTTTCATTAAACTGAGAATATTTCAATACAGCAAGAATAATCCATTGTTCAAATTTCTATGTACAATCTTTTAAAGGCTCTTTATGAATCAAAAGTCAGGAAGACATTAATATTTTTAAGACACATAAATTTCACTCCAAAGATTTCTCTTTAGAAAATTCTACAAAAATAGGAAGATAACCAAAAGGATGCTTAACACATCATTATACATCAGTAAAACAAAACAAAACTGAACCCAACCACTCATCACTAATGTTGGCCAAATTATAATACAAAGAAAAAATCATTTGGGGCATAAAGTGGGTATAGCTGTTATTTATTCAATCTATTTTTTAAGTTACATTCTTCCACAAAGTTCTGTGACTTTCTTCATACAGATCCTGATGTCTCCATTTAATTCGTGGACATTTTAGGATTTTTTGCTGTTACAGTGACTAGGATCTTTTTACCAAGATATTGATATAACTAACACATAAGGAAAAAGCTACTGATTTGAGGATATAGCTGGTGAAATTCATACTCACTGCTTCTGCTTTTCTGTTGATTCTCCAGCTTAATGTGCAATCATAACAACTGAACTCTGCTTTTAAAAAAGTATGCCTCATAACTTTTTCTTGCCTAGTATGTTTCCCAAATATAAGTTTGAGACTTTTACCATTCTGCATGTCTCTAAATCAAGTAACTTAAAACATATGTTTCTTAGGTAAAATTGTAGGCATCGACAAGATAGATGTCTGCTATATATTTTTGCCAAGAGGAAAAAAGTAGACTGGAAAATACTATTGTACACTATGATCATATGCATGTTTAAAAAATCATATACTGTAAATAAAAAGGGTCCAGAAAAGTGCATAATGTGCTTTTTGTGTAATAAAGGAGGGAAACAGTACATGTATTTTTGCATAAAGAAACGCTGGAAGGAAACACCAGAAACTAATAAAAGTGATTACCTGAGGTAGGGGGGAATGGGGGCAGGGGTGGGAGCACTTCTTTTCACTGTATACCTTTTTATAGTATTTTGATTTATGGACCATGTATTGCCTATTCAAAAAAATAAAATTAAAAAAACATATAGTATATATTTTTAAAGTCTAGAAAAACAGACACCAAACTGTTAAGTATTTCTCTTTATGGACGAGCATTCAACAAATTCATTTGCTAAAAAAATATTTATTGAGCACCTATGTTCCAGGTACTGTTCTAGCACTTGGGATACATCAATAAACAAAAGAAAGATCTCTACGCTCGTGGAGCTTACAGTATTCTATAGTATTCTCTACTGTTTAAATATCTAACAGTGAGCAAGCATTACTCCAGCTCCTGCTAGCTGTCTAACCTTGGGCAAGTTCCTTGACCTCTCCAAGCACCAGTCTTCATCGTTTATAAAGTGTGGATACTGCCACCTACCATTAGGGGTATTATGAGAATGATGACACGATACTTGTAAATCATTTAGCTCAGTACCTGATACAAAATGAGCACTCAGTGTTAGTCATATGATTTATGATTTAGCCGTATTTTTAGAGCAGTCATACATGTATACAGCTATTGTAGAATGTTCAATGAGGAGTAAGGAATGTCCAGGAAACAGAAAAGCTGAAGTCACTGGGTTTTTCCTAGGTCTACACCCTTTATCACTACCAGCAGATAGGCCACGTGCTTGTCTGATGGCAACGTCGCTGTCTTATTTACCTTTTCTACCCTCCATTAGACTCTGAGCTCCCTAAGTGAAGAAAACATGCCTGATTTATCCTATTGTCCCTAGAATCTAACACAGTACCAGGCAATACATGCTCATTAAATATTTGTTAAAGTGAATACACAGGTGGACGTGGTCATGGAAGGTTTCAAAGAAGAGATGGGACAGGCTGAAAATGATTACCACCATGATCCTAATTCAAAATTAAAGGAATCAACTCATTTTATTAAATTTTAGTTACCTGTTCTTATATTATTTCTTTGACCAAATCTAGACATAGCTATGAAAACACCTGTTGTTTTCTGAGGAAATAAGCCTTTGAAGCCAGCCTTTATATACATAAGTGGGTTCTACAGGGCTGAAGACAGCTCTAGAGCCACAAAAAAGAAGCTATTAACCCACACAATCCCATCAATAAAGCAGTATTTAGGATAGGGAAGGAGTGTAATGACCCTTCAGAATTGGATCCCCTCAAACCACCGCGTAGGGAGATTCTGATATAATTACCACTACAGTCTCCCAACCCCTAACAACCCCTGAGCTAAACGCTTCAATCCTCCAAAACCAGGGATGGAGAATGGTGAAGATGGGAAGAGACACAGGATCAGTATCTGTGGTGACAGAGCTCTAACCAATCTCAGAGCTGTCCTTCCGGGACGACCACACAGCTTCCATTGCCAACGCTTGTTGTCAGAGACCTACTAACCATTAACAAGTTCCAGAAGGCACTAGAGTCTTCTTCTATTACTAGTTACATGAAACAAAAGTGGAGAATAAACACAAGTAGACTTTCATGGTCTTCCTAAACTTTTGGATATTCTGACCCACCTCTTAGGATTCTGCAACATTCCCCTCCAGAATAATAGCATACCTTTTTCTAAAATGATAGTGGCTCTTTATCCGTTTCTCTCAAGCTAATTAGTTCTTACAGAATTTTGAGTTTATTAACATGTTCTACGTAATACAGCTTAAGTTTTTAACAGACCTCTGTTCTTAAATATTATGCTAAAAAACAAAACAAAAACCATACACACCCATTTGTGGCATTTCCTCACCTCCAAACACTTTCTCCTTTTTAAAATAGGATTAGATTCTCTGTGATCAGCATATACTTTAAACACCTTTGTTTTATTTACTCAAAATGTAACAAGACTGAAAAAATATTAATATATGCAGTTTTAGAGCATTCTTAAAATTACCTATAATTTATAAAAATAAGTTAGACTGAAATGAAGAAAAATCAGAATACTGGTATTTTTAAAAGATGCTATATATGATTCCAAATTACCAAACATTACAGGCATTTAATTCATTTAAACTAGCTCTAAGAGATTTTTCTTCCAAAATACTCCATTTTAACCAATTTTTAAAATATTGTTCCTTTGTATGTTTTATGATCTCCTGTCCTATTTTTAAACTACTTTAGCTCATAAATAGCAGTTCAAATCCAAAGAGCCAACAGCTTATTTAAATTGTTTTAAATGCTCATGCATACTTGCACACACTGCAAAATCTACATTTCCAAAGTGGTTAAGTTTTTTCTTGTACATGTTTCCAGTATCCACACAATTTCTAAGTTAAAAAAAAAAAAAGAGGGGAAATAATAAAAGAAAACAGAGAAAGTTACAAGAAACAGATTACTTACCATTACTCTGCAGTGTTAATCCTGAGAGATCTTAATTTTTTAAAGAGGAAAAGAAAACGAAACATTAATCATTATCATGAAAATATTTTCCACTATACTTAAAACTATAGAATGTAAACATAAGCTACAGTCAAAACTTCATGAGCCATTTTAATTCAGGAATAGTATAAATGTTATCTAACAATACATGAACTATTTAATTTTATCATGTTTTCCATCTTAATTTTCAAAAATATTCTAAATGGGCAAAATACCAACTATTTGGTTTTAGCAGTCAAAATATAAGTTTGTTCCAAAGTTGAAATTTAAATATTTTTATTTCATTAAAAATGTTTGATTATTTAACGTTAGTTGCAGTCCTGGGCCTCTTCCAAATTTGTAATTTAACTTAGGAAAATTAAAACACTATTCAGATCTTTTCCTTTTGTGCTTCTAAGGATAAAGGCAAAGTCTACTTACCAATTCCAGGTGATACAACTCGTTCATAGTGATATGGATTCACACAGACACTATCACATTTTAAGTCAAACGCATACTGACAATATTTAACATGTTTTAGTTCATTTTTGTGAAGATCAGGCCACCTCCAGAGACGAGCATAGATCACATGAGGAAATCCTTTCCGACCTGCCACCTAGGAAAAATAAAGGACCGCTTATTGAGCATCAGTTATATATCACACATTAACAAGGTATTTTATGCACATTCTCACTTAATCCTCACAGTCCTACAAAGTCAGTGTCACAATCATCATTCATAAATGAGAAAACTAAAGCTCAGAATAACTTACTTGGCCATGGTCACAATGCAGTGAGCTTAAGGTATGATTTCAAGGCCTGTGCTCAGGTTTTAAAAATGCGAAAAAAAGTATGAGTTTGTTGTAGAAATTATGCCTAAAACTTAGAAATAAAAGTTTTTAATCTAAAGACTTAAGATTTCTTTAAAAAGATTAAGCACAGGAAATACGTAGTTCCACATGAAAAATGAGACTAGTTAAAATGAAAGGTAAAGAACATTTGCAAAATACAAGCTTCTTAACTCAAGTTTTAAAGATAAGCTTGAATTCTAGATTGTTTTTTATACAAAAGTACCAAAAATACTATAGCAGAATTCTAAACTATACAAGAACCAAGTATAGCTTAGGGTTTTAAAAATGTGTATATAATACCAAAAAGAAAAAAAAAAAAGCTACAAGGATGAATACCAAAGTGCTAAAGATGTGGATTTTCTTCTTTTATTCTTATGTTCCAAATTTTCTAAATTTGACTTTTAGGTCAGAACATTAAACAATTTTTAAAAATACCTTTATTATATGGAATACATAGTCTTCCATATATTCCTATAATGAGTACTGGTACAGGATGTACAATATCTAAAGAGATGAAGCAAGGATCAAATTATCCCAAAGAAACTTAAGAAGAAATAAGATTTTTTTTTTTTTAAAAGTCTGCCACTACAAAAGACGTAAGAAAACTCTAGTACAAAACTAACCTGAAGCCTTCCATCCAAAGTTCTCTGTATGGTAACACATTTGCTAGGATGAGCTCCATTTGTAGTAATGGCTGTTATTAAAGAATCCAATTCATCTTTTTTCTCCTTCAGCTTCTTTACCAAACTTTCAATTGCTCTTTTCGCAAATGTTTCACTCTCTCCACCTTGTCTATGGCACATCAAACTATGTACAATGCTCAGACAGGCATCATTACTTGTTGGTGTATTCGTAATAGACATATTGTCCATTTGCTAAAGTTATTTCTTTTAAATCAAATATGTCTCCAACTTCCAGGGCACTTTTGATTTTTTGGAGGCAGTGAAAAATACTGGCTAATGTTGCAAGGAAAACTGTTAGACATGTGGTATTCAGGATAATCTAAAAAAAAAAACAAAAAAACAAAAAAACATATTAGAACATATTTTACAACGCAGATTCAATTACTTGGGAAAAGATGAAACTGCTCCAGTTAAGTCAAAGACTGAATGTTCATAATTAAAATTTGGTTCTTAGATTTTTAAGTGACTTAAAATGTTGCTGTTTTTGACATTCCAAAAATATTAATGTTAGGCCTTCTTGTTATTATAGAGGCATGCTCAATCAAGTCTTGTTGATTGTATTTTTCGCCTGTGAACCTTAAGGTCGCCAGTTCGATTCCCAGTCAGGGCACATGCCTGGGTTGCAGGCCAGGTCCCCACTTGGGGGTGTGCAAGAGGCAACTGATCGCTATATCTCCTGCACATCGATGTTTCTCTCCTTTTCCTTCCCCCTCTCTTCCTCTCTAAAAATGAAAAAATAAAAATCTTTAAAAAAAGAGAGATTAAGCAAAAAAAACCTTATACACATATATAGACAACAGCATGGTAATTACCAAGGGAAAGTAAGGTGAGAGGAAGTAAAAGAGGGCAAAGGGGTGATAAATGGTGATAGAAGGAGACTTGACTTTGGGTGGCAAACAATACAATATACAAATGATGAAGTACAGAACTGTACACTTGAAACCTATATAATTTTATTAACCAATGTCACCCCAATTTTTAGAAAAATTTAAAAAGGATATGTAATAACTATCGGCAAGGGAGTGAAGAAAATAAAACCCCTCCTACACTGCTAGTGGGATTGCAAAATGGGGCAGCCACTTTTGAAGAGTTGTCTGACAATTCTTCAAAATATTAAACATACAATTACCATATGACCCAGCAATTCCACCCAAGATTAATGAAAACCTATGTCCACAGAAAAACCTGTACCTAAATGTTCGTAGCAGCATCATTCGTAATAGCCAAAAAGTAAAGCCAACCCAAAAGTCTATCAACTAAAGAATATATAAATGAGTATATCCATACAATGTAACATTATTCAGCCATAAAAAGGAATTAAGTACTGATACATGCTACAACATGGAACCTGGGAAGCATGCTAAGTGACAGAAGCCAGTTACAAAAGGTCGCATACTGTATAATCCCATTTAAATGACACATCCAGAACAGGCAAACCCATACAAACGAGGAGGAGATTAGTGGTTGCTGGAGGCTAAGGAGAAGAGGAATGCGGAGTGACTGCTAATGGGTTTGGGGTTTCTTTTGAGGGTAATGAAAATGTTCTGAAATTGATTGTAGTGATATTTGCACTACACTTTAAAAGGGTGAATTTTATTGTATGTGAATTATATCGCAATAAGGTTATTATTTTTTAAAAAAGGCCACTGAGTTCCTCCAAAGATGTTACATGTAAAAACAACAGGGTAAATTATTTTCAAAACAAATTAAAATATAGAAAATGAATATTAATGAAGAATCTATTCAATATTTACAAAACTAAAGAAACTTTACTGACCTGAAGATTTCACATGGAATAAGAAAAGATCATCAGTTTAAGAATTAGTGACATAAAGCAGGAGTGGAGATTGCAGTTTGCATGCTGGACTGTTTTTGTTTGTTGATGTTGTTAGATTCCAAGCTCATTTTGCCTTTATTTTCTTTTGCTACTTACTTGAATTTTTAAAAATCTGCCCGCCACCACCAAAGAAATAAAACTAACTTATCGGTCTATACCACAACCTGTTCCTCTTCTGTTGACCTTTCTTTCTAAAGCATCAATTCCATTCAATTACTCAACACCAGAAAGCCTGATAAATCATCTTTGACCTACCTCTCTCTTTCACTACCCCCACATTTTCTCACAAAGTTACACGATTCTTTACCTTAGTCATTCCTATCAGTCTCCCCCTTTCTAGTCTCCCTAACACTGCTGCAATTCGGGGCATGTTAGAATTTGTGTCAATCACCTGGTAGTTACCACGTGTTCCCCATTACTGTTACCTGTTTTACATAGGTAAATACCTGTCTCCTCAATATAAGGCCCATGCAGAAAAGAAACATGTTTTCTTAAATCTTTGAATACTTAGCATGTGCATACATTCAGGAAATACATGTATTAAGGTATAGTTTTCAGGTATCCATAAATTATCTACAAGGGAAGGGGGGTTGGAGTCAGAATCTAGATTGAAATCCTAGCCCTCACACTACGTAGTTGGACAAATTAAGTTACCTAAACTCTCTGAATCTGGATTAAAAGTATATAGCACTCAAATGAGAAAATCTATAGTATAAAGTGCCTAGCACATATGGTTCAGTAAAAAGCAGCTATTATCTGAATACTAAAGTGTTTAATTGTTTTTAAAAAGAGAGTGTCCTAAAACACATTATGATTTTTCTGCACTGTCTCCTACAAAACTCGTCAAAGAAAATTTAGGAGGGCAGGGGCTGAAGTAAACCACTCATCCAAGGACTCACAACTCCAAGGCATATAGGAAAATGAATAAAATGTGCTAGCTGTACAAAAAAGCACAGGGGGCGTACAAGTGCGTGCTCATCTAAATGAGTAGCCATCATGCACCTCTGGGGGAAGTGACATTTCAGAATGTTAGCCTGCTGTCAGATTTTCAATGCTCATTTGTATGTGAAATCTCATTTTTAAGTATTGGCAATTTATTTGTGGGGAAAAAGGAAGTAAAGGACAGGGAGAGACAGAAACCATTGTGTATACCAAACAAAACACACCTTCAACTCAAATCTGGCCCAAGAGTACCACCAGTTTTAAATCTCTGAATGTCAACTCATAACAATTTTAATTTCTATACTAAAAGCTCTAGGGGACAGCAATTGTACTTGTATTATTCATCATTATACACCCAATTCCTAGGACATGTAAGAGCTCCTTATGATCAAATGAATGCATTTCTGTATGTGCTTTCAAATTCTTTCTCATGCAATTTCTTTTGTGTAAAGCGTTAAGTCCCATATTATCCACTTGGTAAGTCGTAGCCATCCTTCGAGTGCCATGTAAATGTCTCCTTTTTTCCAAGACCATTCCTTAACATACTATCTCCTCTCCCCCGAGTTCTGGTGGAGAATTACTTCCCTGGTCTGTTTATTCTATGTTACTTGATTCCTCCCTCAAATTTAAAATACACCCCAATTAAAACAACATATTATTTATTATTTGATTATGTATTTGTCTGACACTCTGTTGCCACAAATCTTTAGGTTCAAGAAAAGAGGAACACTTTCTCATCTTAAAAATTCCCAGGCAAAAGTCTGTGGGTTGACTATAGCTTTTTATTCTATGGAATTTCCTCGCAACAAGTTTGAAGAGTGCAAATATTTTGTTGTTGAACTCATTTTTTGATATTAAATTCCAAAAGATTTGTACCAATTTATAATGTAAAGTGTGAATATAACTATTTCACCATAATCTCACCATCAGATGTTATTGTTTCTAAAATTTAAGCTATCTCTGTGCCCAATGGTATCTCAAAAACTGTTTTAACTGCACATGTCTTTGAAAACTAATGAAAATATCCTTGCTTTCTTAAACAGGGCTTTGTCATGTATGTTTATCTTTGCTGTATTCCTATGTCCACAAGTGCCTAAAACATTATTTAAAAGCTCCTTGTATAAAAAATAATTATCAACAGGGGTGTACAGATGTTTTCCTACATTAAATAGCTCCACATTATAATTTTTTAAAAGAGTGGCATGTAACGATAGTAAACAATGGCATTAGACTGGTATAAATAAAATATGTTCTAATTAAAGCTCTAGCAACATAACCAAAGCAAGTTAACATCTCTTTTAATCCTTTCATCTATAAAATGGGAACAATACATGTCTTGCCAACTTTACAGACTTGCTATGGTAATCAAATGCAACAGTGTACATAAAAGCAATCTGAAACCACAAATTGACCAATCCAACACACACTGTATCTACTATGTGCAAATCACTTCAGACACAAAACAAGTAGCATGTAATTTGAAAGTGGTTCTCAACTCTATCAAACATCCCATTTTGTAACAATTTATCACCGAGTTAGCTACCCTGAAACTAAAACCTATTTACACATATTTTTAAAAGTTTAACATCGCCCTTATTATTATACAAAGGAGGAAAAGATTTATAAAATATGTATTTTAATAAAAATGCCACAGCATATTAACAAATTTAGAAAATATAATACAAATGATAGATGCCTACACTTACATATAGAATCATATATATGGCAGCTACAAAGTCAAACCTTCCAATACAGGTGTGTTGTTTGGCAACTCAAATAGCACAATGGCACTGCATTTGGTGACGCAGATTTTCCAAAACAATGAATTCCTGATAAGGTTCCAAACAGAACAACTTCAATTACGAACCCAAATTATTTCTGAAAAAAGTGAGTACATATTAAATGGAGCTGGGTTCTAGGCTAATTATATATTTCCTCCTACATGAATTTCTGGGGAATTTAAAAGTGTTATGGGATGCCAAGGTAATTCTTCAAAGTTATCTCTACCAAAGCTCCTCCCACTAATTTTCACAACAACATCCCTTAAGAAGCAGTACTTACTCCCCTGAGAAGCACTGATCTAGAAGACCCAAATATATTAAACTAAGAAATAAATGCTAAAAGAGGTAGATGTTAAAGTGATTTGGGAATATAAACAAGCAAGCATGGAAAATTCACAGGTAAACTAAACCTTAGCATGATGCAGTAGTGATGACCAACCCCAGAGTATCAGTAGTTTAAATCACAGGTGAATTTTCTATATAAACTGGGAACGCTGCACACTGTTACCTCTCAGGGATTATTAGTCTTAACAAAGACTCCATCTCTATATCTATCCTTAAGTAGCAGGGGAAGAGATAAGATAACTTATACACAGCATTTTAAAGGCCAACCATCCCTTCTGCTCACATTTGATTGGCCAAAGTCATATGGCCATGTCAGTGGTTCTCAACCAGAGCAACTTTGTCCCTCAGGGGCCATCTGGCAATGCTAAAGACATTTTTGATGTTCACAACTGGAATGGGGAAGTAGGAGGCAGA